TATCTTCTCTTAGAGGAGCTACTACTATGTCAAATACACAAAAATAATGAAAATGTTCAAGTAAAACTTGGCCCTGCCACTTCCCGCTTGCCTTCTGTTATCGATTTTCACTCCGAAAAATAATCGTTTTATTCGCTTTTTTCTACCGATATAAAAGATATTAATTAACTTTTGAAGCAGACATGGAATGAAATGAATGCGCCCACGTTTAATTATGCAAAAAATACTTTAATAATTGCGCATAAATTGCGGCCCGACAATAATTCGGGAGAAACATGCACGGTACATAAGAGGCGCAAAGACAACCCAAAATAAAAGCCTTTTTAAGACGGTTGCAGACGCCAAAATAAGAAAAGGTAAGGCTATTTTTTCATTTTAATAAAACATCTAACTTCTAAACTGATTTCAAGTAAAAATCGACGTTGTTGAAGAGCACTGGGACAGATATATTTGAAGAAAGCCTAATTAATTTTGTTGTAGAAAAAATTGCGGTAATTGGCCCCTTGCATGGTGTAATGGCAGCTGCTCGAAAGCGAGGCTAAGCGTGCAAGATACTCAAAATCGCACTGCCCAGGCCTCCTAAGTACCATTGGCAGCGTAGCTGGAACTCGGGGGCAAGGGAATTTTTCCCATTTTGTAAAATGATATTGAACTCCACCGCACGTACACACGCATTCTGATCCCTGCTCTGGGCCTCCAGGTACTTTGTTTGCCCCCCCCCCCCCCCTCCAAGAAGCTGCAACTGATTTCTAGAAAGGCAAATCAAATCTTTAAGATCCCTGACCAAAGCTTTCTAGCCCGAGACTTGGTAACGCGACTCTATTATTGATTTTACATATATGTTGCTGGAGTTTCTGCCAAAAAAAATAAGAAATGACCATGAACAACTCGTACAAAAAAATACTGACAAATTGACACATGAAAATCAACTTGTGTATTCTTTATTCCTGGACCCACCTTGCATATTTATTTCTCCATATTCACAACGATCATTATTTATACCTTCCCTGCAAATTTACATCTGGTGTTTATAGACAATTCCGTATAGCACTGATACATTTCACAGCCATTTGAGCAAGAGTTGAAAGTTAATAAATAAAAAAAAAAGCATTTCACTTAGATCGGAGTTGATAACGATCCACCAAGTGGACACTAAAACTACCACAAACAAGTTTTTTCAGCTAATATTAAAAAAGTCTACATCCAGCAAAGGCTCAACTCCTTCAGTATTCAAGTTTACATTCATCTCCATTGGACAAAGTAAAAAAAAAAAAAAGTACTGTTGGGTTTTGCCGAACTATAATGGCAACATACTTATTCAAATGCAAATCAAACGAGAGCTTATTTGAAAAGAATTGCAGAGCTGTTTTTTTTAAGTACCCGGGTTTCAACAGTGCATGGCATCCTGCCGGGGTGACCCGGATCATCGTCCGATTTGAAAAGACCGAATCTAAGCTAGGCTACATGCATGCACTTTGTGGGCATTCAGGCAAATTCACGCACAAAACATTCATGATTCATGTTCTGCTAGAGATGGTCCACAAGGTTACTGGTTGCACAGCATCGCTAGCATATTACCATTAGGCCCAGTAAAAATATTAACCAGTCTCTCACCCCTGTCCCTTTTTTTTTTTTCCCACCCACCTCTTTTATTTTTTTATCTCCAAGTTTCACATCGCATCTATGTTTTTGCACTATAGTTTCTGTTTTTTGTTTCCGGCAAAATTGTAGCTACATATGCAAGTTCAAAATCTGGTAGACAGGGTGATGGCTCCTTTGGACACAAAAGTATCAGCAAAAGAGTGGAGTAAATTGAAGAATCCATCCGCCATTTTGGAAAATCGCCATTTTTGGGGGAAAAGGGGGCCTCTTTTTTTCTCTCAAAAAGTCCAGACGAGACCTAGAAACAATATTTTTTTCAACATGGCCTTTCTAGTCATTATTCATGGACAGTACACCCACTCCATGAAAAATTCAACAGCAGTAAATGAAAGCTCTGCAGTATCTCGTCTGTGGAATACATGATTGTATCCCATAAACTGAATCCTGTACAAGTTGAATCCTATACAATCCCTTCGCATTTTATGGAGTAAAAAAGGCCTACTGTCTGCGCTAAAATCCAACAATTTGCACGCATTCTTCAACAATCCTCAACAATGACGCATTCTTTCAATTTGTAAAGTAGTTGATAATTAAAGGGAATATACAACATTTGTTTTTGCTGCAATTTTCAGAAATAAATGGATTTGGAGGATTAGTATGTTGTTAAATATTGTTAAACTGACAGCTTGTAGATGCTGGAAAAACCAAGAAAACTTATCATGTTCTTGTAGTCTGGTTCCCTGACCCCACTTTAGATGAATTGAAGCAATTAATACACTTTGGGGAATTGTAAGGTCAGAGATTTAGTCTAGCAGGCTTGTACCCCTTCATAGGTGTGTGATCAATTGCAAAGAAAAGTCAGAATAACTAAATATGAAAAATTAAAAACAGTTTTTGAAAAAAGCCAGTTTTCTCCAACGCTGGTCGGCCGACCAGCGTTCGAAAAATACAGTTTTTCTTGAAAATGTCAGCCCACCAGGATCCACGATTTTAAAGGATGCTTTAGACTGTCAGTCCCTAACAATTCAGTAAGGTATTTTGTGGTAATTTGATCATTTCGTTTTTTGATGTTTGCAAATGTTGTATTTTCCCTTTAAATTAGGGACATCAAAGGATATAATATGAAGTCCAAAATACTTCAAAGCCAGGTCCAAATTTAAACCCGCAAACTATAATTTTGCTTACGCACGATGAACTAAGCAGAAATATGCAGATGACAATGGCAATTAAAAAACGTGTGCCATTTTTGCTTAAAACCCTGTTTTTGTTTATAAATGTGTGGCACTTTACAGAAGTCTGTGCTTAGCAGCTCATAAAATTGGACCGAGATCCTGGGAGTGCTGGATTTGAGCAGATGGGCTTGAGTAGTTCATAATTTAATGAGCACATTCTTACGATTATATACAACACACACTATACAATTATCATACATATTTATCACACTTTTACAGAGTCTAAAAGTTTACATTGCATTTTTTTTGGTATAAATGAATGCTTGAGCTATAGATTATAATATCTCAGTTTCTGCTTACAGTCACAAAAGACAGCCAATTTCAGTTTACGCCAGGAAACGATAATCATGGAAGACCAATGAAATGAAAATAAACGATACAAGAATAATGGTCTGCAATTCAACAGTCTAAGATAAAAGAGTAGTTCGGTCGTGTGGAATGTATTGTACTCCTCAGCAGCAAAGAGGCCCAAACATTACTGAATAAAATGAAGTACAACTTATTACAAAGAAATCTTGCACAATGCACCACCACTGGTCAAAATGTGTATCATTATCCCGTTATTGAGGATCGATAAGTAGTGTTCTAAGGTTGCATTGCTTAATCTCACCCGGGTCGACACGGGTCACCCCCGTGCCGTTCGATTAGATCTGACGTCATTCTCGGGGCTCACCGGGTCAGCCACCGCAGAAACTGCTCGTGGAGCAGAGTCACTGGTGGAAGTACGTCACGCATGCATTGTTCACTCCCTAGAAATGGACAAATATGGGGCCGGACAGCAGAAATCTCAAGTGGACTTAAAGGTTTATTTGAAGTCAAAAGGTAGTCATTTATTGAGTTCATTGCGACTTTCGAGGCTATCATTTCAGCCCAACTTTTTTTGAGTTTTGCAATTGCCTAAAAAGCAGTAAATCTCAAACTAAGACCCAATCCGAAACGGGCGTTTTGTCAGTGGCTACAGCCACGGCTAAGGCGTCATGTGAGGATCGTGATGGCACGCAGTTGAGCGTTCGATTAGCCCGGCTGTCGTGGCTGACCCGTCTGCCTTTACTCGTGTCGACCTGGGTGAGCTAAAATGAACACACCCAATATTAGGTTTTTGCCCTTCACCGACGTATAAACACTGCGTACTCAGTGTGTCCCCCCCCCCTCCCCCCCCCCCCCAAACGTATAAACACTGCATACTTATCATAAAAAATCACTTACCACTGGACCACTGAGATTGCGGGATGGGTTGGATGGTTGGAATTCGATGTTAACAGCGGATCCATCTTATGAATAACTAATGTTGTTAACCCATTAAGACCTGTACTACATTGTATTACATTGTGCTTATTCACTGAAGAATCAATCAAACCATAGAGTTCTGGGGCGGTTTTGGGCGCTCCAGTACAGTGAGTAATACAGGCAGGGCGGTTCTGGGCGCTACAGCTGGACTGAAGGACATATATGGTTCTAGGAGCAGGCCTTCGCTTGTTTCCACCAACCTTTCATCGGGCGCTAGTGAACTCTACATGTATATGTAATCCTGTTTTAAAATACCTGTAAAGGAAATGCAGGTGTTGCAAAGCATTGTGGGTACAATGTACGTGGATTTCTTGCGCATGGGTCATGCGCGCATGGAAATACTGGCTTCAGGTCACTGTCAATACAAAAATATATCTAATGAAAGCTCTAAGAAATAAGAGGTCAACATCACCTTTGAATAGGGCTCCCTCTACAGTCCCTGTAAAGTTCTTCTGCGCTTTTTTTTTCTGCCAAGGAATATCCAATATCAAACCCTCTAACTTCTGCGATCTGTAAAAACTCTGTTAGTTCACAGACACGACAAAGATTGACAAGTACACAAACTGACAAGCAACCGACAAATTAGTCTGAGCATCACCCGTTCTCCACGGAGCCCTATCTCTCCGGTTGAACGTCTGACATCTCCTGACAAGCAAATTTATGCAAGCAGCGCGCCAGCCAATCGAAGTTGACTAAATCGTGACGTCATTTCATTCCCAAATCAGGACTAACACTGTGATTGGTCAATTCGAGTGCAGTGTTTTGTAATACAACAACAGCTGGGAGCACATTCGCGTAACATGATACCGAGCGCTGCGCGCCATGACAGTTTTTTTTAAATCCATGTCTATGAGGCGCAACGGGTGAATGACTGAAGACCCGATGGGCCTATAGAAAGCGCCCGCTGACTGGTCGAAATCTAGGAAGTCAAGATGCGGGGTCTTGCCTAATTAATCGGCAAATGTGGTTGCCTGTAATACTATTACATAGACTACTGACAAATGAGCATAACTATGAAGAGTCACATTTTAAAATGACGAAAGGATGAACATTAACCCTCATGTATTGTCTGTGTGGCCGCTTTCAGTATCGCTGTGTCTGCTGTCCTGTTTGTGAAGGCTTCTGTCACTATGTGCGCTTCGGTTGCTGCCTGTGCTCCTATCACTGTGTGCGCTATGCTGGCTGTGCTGGCTGTGCTGGCTGTGCTGGCTGTCCACACTGCACTGTTTAGGTAGCCGCGGGGGCGAGTTCAGCTTGAACTCCGTCCCCTGGTGGCTGGTGCCGTTGATGCGGCTGGCCTGCTGGCTGGCCCGCACCGCTTCCTTCAAGAAGTCTTTGCATTCACAGCAGACCATGTCCAGTTGCTCCTTGGGGATGTTGGTTTGCCTTTCTCGCCTCCATAGCCTGGGGGACCCCTCAGGGCTTACTGAGGGGGTGGGGGGCTCCGAGTGGCTGCAGGAATGGAACATAAATATCAAATTATTGTTTAATGGTTTATACAATGTTTCATTAAAATGGAATGCCCCCGTTTTACTACCATGGGCGTCAATCATTGGGGAGACAGTGGGACATGTCCCCCCCCCCCCCCCCCACTTTTTGAAGGATGGGGGACACAATATCAAATGCCCCCCCCCCCCCAGATTTTTGAACTCGTGTGTCTCATTTACAGGGCCATATTATGTACTGTTTAGGTAGCCGCTAAAAATAAAATTGGTTAAAGTTGTCAGAAATTGCCTCAGATCGCACCACAGAGCATCTAGAATCCAAAAGTTTTGGGCCCTTAGCGGGCCCCAAACCCCACGCTGTAAGGGCTTCGCACTTCGCACTTGCATTAGTTCTGATCAAGGTATATGTCTCCCCTCCCCCCACTTTTGAATAGCGATTGACACCCCTGACAATAATGATTACCAGCAATTGCAAAAGAAGAAGTGAATAGCCATGACTACTGCCAAGACCCAAACTGCCGCTTGTCTCCCAAACATCAAACTGTGTGTGCAGTGGCGTCACCAGACTTTTCAGTCTGGGGGGCACAGGGGGGGGGGGGCACCAGCATTTGATGGGGGGAACTTAGGTGGATACGGATCGCCGTCCTGGGGGAGGGGTCTAAGGGGAGGTCCCCTTTGAAAATTTTCGCATACGGAGGATGGGCTAGATGCAAAATGGTGCCACATTTGATGCTAAATTCGATCTGAAGATATCTCCAGAAATTGCTATTTAACCAACTCAGATGATGGGAGTTGAATATAACAAAATATATATATTTTTTTTTACCAACCCAAATCTCAGATGGGGGGGCACTCGGGGGGGCACTAGGTTTTCCAGGGGGGGCACGTGCCCCCCCTGGCCCCCCCTTGGCGACGCCACTGTGTGTGTGTGACACTAATATGCGCGGAAATTTGTACAAAAAGCAGAAAGCTTGTTGTTTGACTTTTTATGCTCAATTTGAAGAGAACTCTTGACAAAAATGCAAACTGCTCTTAACATGACACAACTCCCCTTCTGATTTTACATTTCAAAGGCTTTAAAGAAAGAAAAAGAAAACAAAACTATAACATCCATCAAGGCAAATATAAAATCACTTTTCTTGCTAGATCCATTTTTAACTTTTGGAACCACTCTTAACAAAATTTAAAACAGCTCATTTAATGGGGGACTGAAAATGCTGCTAGAAAATTAATAGCGGACTAAATTTGGTGCCGGAAAACTTTTCCCCTAATTTGGACTTATATTACTACATACAAACTTTGTAAACTTTGTGAAATGTTTGATAATTTGCCAGCCTGAAAATTATAAAGTAGTTTGATTACCTTTGAAGGCGAAAGAGTAATAAGCTAACCAGGTTACCCACATGTTTATTACTCACGCCTCGCACAAGTTTCTTGAACTTTGATTTTTATGAATCAGTATGAAAAATCAGCGCTGTTTGTTGTAAACTTTCCGATCAGATAAGGGCATGAAAGAAAATGGAGGTGCATCTGATTAACTGCCATGTCGACGAACTAGTATATCATTGTGCTATCTGTGCGACTGCACTGGGGTAAACACTTTCCATGTATACATGAACTTATTTAACGAAAAGGAGTTGGTGACTTGCGCAAGCTTAACCCCAAAATAGATTCAAATTTTTGTCAATGCACGTGCCTAAGAGGGTCAGTAGTAGGTGACACTACACTGCAACGCTGTGCAATGTTTGAACAAACTGCCTTTGAAAATTCCATTTGGATTTGGAGTGAGTTAGGACTTGACTTGATTAACATGGAACTTGGGCAGAGTGTCTTGAGACTATACTTGACCAGAGTGACTTGAGACTTGATCAGAGTGACTTGAGACTTGACTAGAGTGACTTGAGACTTGACCAGAGTGACTTGAGACTTGACCAGAGTGTATGGAGATTTGACCAGAGTGACTTGAGACATGACCAGATAATGACTTGAGACTTGACCAGAGTGACTTGATACCTGCCCTTAGTGACATGAGACATGACCAGGTTGGCTTGAGACTTGACCAGAGTGACTTGAGACTAGACCTTCGTGACCTGAGACTTGACCAGAGTGACTTGAGACTTGACCAGAGTGACTTGAGACATGACCAGAGTGACTTGCGACTTGACCAGATTGACTTGAGACTTGACCTTAGTGACCTGAGACTTGACCAGAGTGACTTGAGACTTGAACAGAGTGACTTGAGACTTGAACAGAGTCACCAGAGTGACTTGAGACTTGACCTTAGTGACTTGAGACTTGACCTTAGTGACTTGAGACTTGACCAGAGTGACTTGAGACTTGACCAGAGTGACTTGAGACTTGACCAGAGTGACTTGAGACTTGACCAGAGTGACTTGAGACTTGACCAAAGTGACTTGAGACTTGACCTTGGTGACTTGAGACTCGACATGAGTGACGTGAGCCTCAACCAGAGTGACTTGAGACTTGACCAGAGTGACTTGAGACTTGTCCAGAGTGACTTGAGACTTGACCAAAGTGACTTGAGACTAATAACCTTGGTGACTTGAGATTCGACATGAGTGACTTGAGCCTCAACCAGAGTGACAAGACTGGACGAGAGTGACTTGAGACTTGACCAGAGTGACTTGAGACTTGACCAGAGTGACTTGAGACTTGACCAGATAGTGACTTGATACTAGCCCTTAGTGACTTGAGACTTGACCAAAGTGACTTGAGACTTGACCAGAGTGACTTGAGACTTGACCAGAGTGACTTGACACGTGACCAGAGTGACTTGAGACCTGACCCCAGAGTGACTTGAGACCTGACCAGAGTGACTTGAGACTGCACTGGGGTAAACATTTTCCATGTATACATGAACTTTTTTTACGAAAAGGATTTGGTGACTTGCGCAAGCTTAACCCAAAAATAGATACAAATTTGTGTCAATGCACGTGCCAAAGAGGGGTCAGTAGTAGGTTACACTACACTGCAACGCTGTGCAATGTTTGTACAAACTGCCTTTGAAAACTCCATTTGGGTTTGGAGTGAGTTAAGACTTGAGTTGATTAACATGGGACTTGGGCAGAGTGTCTTGAGACATGATACTTGACCAGAGTGACTTGAGACTTGACCAGAGTGACTTGAGACTTGACCAGAGTGACTTGAGACTTGACCATGGTGACTTGAGACTTGACCAGAGTGACTTGAGACTTGACCAGAGTGACTTGAGACTCGTCCAGAGTGACTTGAGACTTGACCAGAGTGGTTTGAGACTTAAGCCAGAGTGACTAGCTAAGACTTGACCAGAGTGACTTGAGACTTGACCAGAGTGACTTGAGACTTGACCAGAGTGGTTTGAGACTTGGGCCAGAGTGACTAGCTAAGACTTGACCAGAGTGACTTGAGACTTGACCAGAGTGACTTGAGACTTGACAAGAGTGAATTGAGACTTGACCAGAGTGACTTGAGACTTGACCAGAGTGCATGACCTGAGACCTGACCAGAGTGACTTGAGACTTGACCAGAGTGACCTGAGACTTGACCAGAGTGACTTGAGACTTGACCAGAGTGACTTGAGACTTGACCAGAGTGACTTGAGACTTGACCTGAGTAAGTTGAGACTTGACTTGAGATTTGACTTCAGTGAATATAACGTGATAGGTGTGATCATCTCTTAGCAATGCTAGATATTTTCAATCTTTTCTTCCACAATAGGTCTTGATACATCATATTTCACAATTCACTTATGAACTTTCCACGTCCAAATTATTTTTTTCCCCAATTTATAATCCATAATTAAAGAGTCGTGTTATCTTTCCTGATAACCATTTCACCATCGTGTTCACCCCTGAAATCTAAAAACACACAGCTGCCATTGTTGGGTTCAAGCCATGGCAAACAAACTTCCAACTTCCGCACGGACACTATTTGAATAGTTCACAGGTAATATCATGTATGGTTTAATAAGTCTGTCAATAAACTTTTGCACAACAGACGTGAAATGCGCACAAAGTTTGTTGGCTTACAACCCCTCAACCTTTTAGTAGACACAAATAATGATAACTCTCAGCTGACAGTTCAGTGACAGTTCGGTGACAGCTCGTGGCTTTTCAACCAATCCCAATTTGGTTTTTTGCCTTTCGAACCAAAGTGCGTTCCCCGTTGAAGTTTAAAAATTGCTTCATGGTGGAGAATTTGAGGGTCTTTCTGCATATAAACATGTAGACACTCACTGAACATGCTGAAGCAGTTTTACAAGAAAAGTCCAATATTGCTTCTTTCAAGTACAGTATATACTCGACGTCTTGAATTGAATAATTTTGAGGAAAAACCGCTGAAACATCATGAACCAAACTAAATTCTTTCCTGACTGAATTAAACTGAATACAGGTTTCGAAATTAGCGGTAGCCCGCTAGCCAAATGCTCGTCAAAACGGCGGCGGGCTAGTCAAACTATTCCTTAAGTAGCCCGGCTGGTGAGTCAAAATATTATTGGGATACGGCAAAAATGAAAGGACAGGAAGAAATAAATCACTCAATTCAGAAAGAAAACCTCATCAATTTGTGTCTCGTTTTCCAATTGTTTTAAAAGGTTAAATTATTAGATCTGTTTATATTTAAAAACACTGACAAAATTGCCTCAGAATTGAGCCTGAAAATGCGCCATTTTGTATTTGAGATAAAAAAAAATGCGGGCTAGTGAAAATGCCCGCGGGCTAGTTAAGAGGTTGTTTCAGTAGCCCGGCTGGCTAGTGAACAAAAAAGTTAAGGTTGAACCCTGCTGAATGTGTCCAAAATTTAATTCAACAATACAAAAATGGTGGTCAAGGTACTCCATTATCATAACCCCTGCACGTCAGACCAATCAAACATTCCAAAGAGCCTTTCGTCTCCCTGTGGCATACACAGCTTGATGCTGCTATTTCGGTACAAAAGGCTCACTTCAAACACAACACTGTCCCTGCCTTTACAGGTACCCAGTGGTAAAGAGAAGCAATTGGGACAAAGTGTCTTGCCCAAGGACACACGCCCTCCAGGACACTACAGTCTAGACATGAACCCACAGTTTACAGAATTTGAATTCCATGCTCCAGATCAAAAGGCCACAGTACGGCACTCCACACTGGCACAGCTCTGCCCCGCGCACCACGCAATCATTCAGATTTCCCACAAAACAACACTTTGCTTGAATTTCACCTTATCCGCAACTCGTATATTGTGCACAAAGTTTAATAATAATACTGGAGTCTTATATCACACACCTATCTACCAACAATTAGGTACTCAAGGGGCTGGAAATTATGTCTATTTTCAAAGACAGGTACCGGTAAATGAAGTTTATGAGAGATATGAGATTCATTATGTAGCACCTTTTATAAGGGTTTACAAGGTGCTGCGGCGCATATTGCAGCCACTGCCAGAAACACCAGGGCAAACCCCTTCTCTTAGCGATAAGTGTTACTGGGTTCTTTAACGTGCATTACACACACGGCTTTACGTCCCATCTGAAGGACAAAGCAATAATGGTAAAGCGCCTTGCTGAAGAGCACAAGCACCATGTTCCCCATCAGGATTGGAACTCACACACCACGGCACACGAGTCGAACACCATAACCATTGGACCACAGCACCCCACTATTTAAACCTAAACAGTTAAGTGCAACTAGTTCAAAATCCTGCATTAGATTTTGAGCAATGCTGTTTCTGAAATTATGACATGCAACTGATTTCACTGTACCTGACCAAGGTATCCACACATATACTTTGTGACTGTGTTCCCACCCATCTGTCCAATATACTCAAACATTTCTAACTGTGTTGGCCCCATAGAGCTATATTAAATTACTAGAGCGCTAACTTCGTGTACAAAGTAATGCATGCTGGGCGCATCCATGTTTGTGCACAAACCTATGGAGACCTAGAAATTTTGTTCGACTTTTGTACGGCTATTTGCATATCTGCGTTTGTATTCCAAACCAGTGCGTTATCAAAGCCAATACGCCCAAAACCGAAACGCACGATCAGCAAATGAGCGTCATTTTGCTCTACGCAAACAGCGCAACGCGTGCGCGTATTCGCTGCAGATGCTTTTTGTCATCACGTTTTTTTGAACCGTCATGACGCGCTTAAGTTGTTTGCGTATGTTCTACTTGCGCGTTGCATGTAGAGTACACTTTCAAAATTCAATCCATCTAATTTCATTATGTTCTACAAACACGCACATGAATTAAAAATGTCTGCGCCCAGGACGGCTTCAAAGCGTCTCCGCGCGCAGAATGAGGAGTTAGCACTCTAGTAATTTAATATAGCTCTATGGTTGGCCTTGACTCTACCTTTTGTACAGTTGTGAGTTGTGTCCCCCGAATGTTGGGCTCTTCTTGGGACTCGTGGGACTCAGTGACTCGATGGGAATCTGGAGGAAGTGCCCGCGTGGCAGGTACATCTTCTTGGTGCAGATGGTACAGATCAGCCTGATTATGACCATCAGCAAGGAACAGCAATAATACAACGCTTGTCAAATATTAATCTGGCATAATTTACAGAGTTGAACATTTTTTTTTTCATTTTTTTTTCGTAAGGTAACAAATTAACAAAAACGCATACAAGAAATAATTTTACCAATCCAAAAACTTGAAGTTCAACTTTCTGAAGATTTTTCAAAGATGGAAATGAAAATAATTAACAAAAATATTATTTAAAAAAAAGGTCTAAAGAGTAACTGAATTCGGTTCTAGAGTACAAGGCCTGTATAGCTTAAAAATGTTAATGATTAAAATCGAGATAAAAACAAATTCCGTACACCAGATACCAGCTAAAATGGCATTCTGGGTGATCTCCAAAAAAAAAGAAGTTTTAAATGGAGAAATTGACTGCAAATTGTTCAGTCCAGTGTGTACTCTCAGCACTTTTACCTTTTGCATAGCTTGCATCTACTCTTGCGCTTGAAAAGTGCAAACTTCTTTTTGCAAGAGAAACAAATCTGTGAATAAAACGCAGTCAAACTATCAGTAAATGGACGGTAACTTAGCCATAGAGTGGAGACTGACTAATGAAGTTTTGATGAAAACTTTTGTATTATACAATGAAATCTCCATAAGTCAAACTCTGATAACTCAAATCAACTGTTAAGTCAACAAAGAATCAATTGCCTTCAGTAACAATGATATACAACCCTGCTTAACTCAGAACTCGATCTGCTTAAGTCAAATTGTGAACCAGGGCCCAATTTCACGGCACTGCTTAACAGTTAGCAGAAAAGTTGTGCTTAGCATAGCAGAACAATTTGCTAACCTTAAGCAATATTTCACGGCGTGGACGTGTTCACGGTCGCGCGTGCATGTTACGTCACTAATTTAAGCAAATTTTTCCTCCGAAGTAAGCATGCCTTTTGCTATGCTTATGCTTATGGTCTCCATGAAATAGACGGAGGCTCTGTTAGCAAAAATTGTGTGCTTAGCAGCGCCGTGGAATTGGGCCCTGTTCCCTTGAGGTCTGATTTATCGAGATTTCATTGTACATTTGTATTATATTGCCTGCACTTTTGGTTTTACATGAACAATTTGAGGTTCAGATAAAAAAAAAATCTAAAAATGTATCTTTCTACAGAACGAATTACATTAATGATGAAGGTGACATAATCATATTTTTTTTATCTTTCTTCCTTCCCCTCCCAAAAAAAGCACATCCCCCTCACTATCACATCCAGCCATCCTAAAAAATTCAGCCAAGTTGACCTAGCTTCATTGATACTTCAACAAGAAAAAGGGGGCATAAAAAAATTAAACAGAAAGCATCGTAATGGATGATTTTTAAAAACATTAACTGAAAACATGCGTACCCGGTTCTGTGTGTTCATACAAGTTGCAATTAATAGCAGTACCAACAATTAAAATGTGACAGACATCGCCCCCAACCCCCCAACCCCCAACTCAACATCACCCTGCCTTCTGAAAATGTTTAAAGACCCTGCACTCCGCATCAACCAAAAATCGTGATGTACAAGTTCAAGAAATTATGTTTTTCAAATAATATGCTAATCTCCTGCTTCACGGGTGGCTATAAAAGCATCCACCTTTAGAGGGCGCCATGACACAATTAACAGACAGAAGATGAAAAATCAACTCAATTCTTGATAAAAAGGTCACCAATATTCCAACACTATAGAGACTCCAAACTACTAGACTAAGTTGTTTGGATCAACAGAGGGCGGTATAACACAAATCATTAGATACTTTACTCAAAACCACATCAGTGGTATTCCCATAATGTCCCTGGATGGGCTAATTACTTATAGATGTGCATAAACTGTGCTATACATGTCTGCCGCTTTTCACAAACATTTTTATATTCTCAGTCATTTCAAAGCAAGAAAACCATAGATAAACTCGACCCTGATGAGCCACGTTTGCTTGGAAATACCTTGACTAAACTTTTACCTTTTCTCTGAGTACACCGTTGTGAATCTTTGGGTTGACTCTAAGATTCTCGATCTCAGCTTTGACCAGGACGCTCCTGATGTGAATTACCTCATCCACGGTCAAAGCCAGACATTCTGGTGGAATGTATCGCTCCTGTGAAATAAGACAAGAAGAATGTACATCTACTTAAGAGGTGATCGATAGCCAGGCATGTGACTAACTCCATCAGCAGGTCCTGAATAGTCAATAGACTAGTCTAGACTTGTGATATGGATTTGTGACGGACTCGACAACAACAACAGAGAACACAATAAGCTTGAAACAAAAGCTCTAACCGACTTGTGATTGACCTGTGCGGACTTGACATTCTGGGTTTAGTAAAAGCAGGAATGGATCCTGATTTGGCACCAAAGGAGGGTTTAAGCTGTCAATAAGGGGGTTCCGCCACCATCTGATATTGTTTTTGCCTCTCAATATTTTCCTTTTTTGGGCGGTTCAAGAAGGGGGTTTAAACCCCTATATCCCTTGATCCACCACTGCATAGTCAGGCATGCAACTGGCAATTTAGAAGGGAAAAAAACGAGGCTAATCCAAACCACACAAGATTTTGTACAGAGTTTTTCCAATTTGTAATGGCAATCATGCAAAGTAAAAAAAAATGAGTAAAACTCAGCTGATCGAAAGTTGCAAGCGTGATAGTTATTGACTGAACTTGCTTAAGAATTGACCTATCGCCGTTTGCGAGTTAGCCACGCCCCTCAGACAACCCTATAGAATTGTGTATAAGTTTTGTTAGTCTCAGATTTTGTGCATCCATTTGTATATCATGTAATTGGACAATATTTCACAAGCTGCATTGACGCAATTCTAACGCGATTTTACCGCGATAGGTCAATTTCACAGTCATACTGTTCTCTATTTCTTACCGAATGACTTGAGAGCTGTGTGAGCGTTTGGCAGATGGCTATACTGTGTCGTCTGGGACTCTCTTGTTTAGGCATCGGTTCCTCTTCTTCTTCTTCGTGCGGTTGTTCGTCGACGTCACTCTCCCTCGCGCCGTCGTCTTCTTCGTTGGTTGGCGTCACAGAAGAATCAGGTGACAACAAGGCTGGCAATCAAGTTAAGAGTGTAACCATCAGAGTACCATGAAATATTTAAACATCTCCCTCTGTATTAAAGTTAGGAACCATCCTTTAACTACCAACATCTAGCAGTGTTCAAGAACACACACAAAATTCTTGTTACATACAGAAGGCCAAGTATAAAAAGTACTTTGTGGTTGACAAAACTGTTATGATTTTTATGTATTTCCGCTGTGTAAACCATGTTAATTTCTATTTGCTGCAATGGGATAAACCATCTGTCTATCGACCATTTTGACTTCTTGAAATTGAGTCATAACGTGAGGCCCCTTACAGATTCTTGTCATTTGATTGGTGGAACTCACATCACGTGACATTTGTTATTGCTCCCATTCACACCGCGGCCCAAAAAGTACTATCCGTCCATGGGGAATGGGAAATACTATTGAACAGTTAGGATCATGATGCGGTATTTGTGTGCAAATGCATGCTGATGTGCGCGTTCAGCGTTGCGCGTAGCGCCTATTGTTCCAAAGAGCCAGCGCTACAGCGTTGGGTTCAAACATTTTCGTGAAGGGGTGGTTTGGAAGAGAGCAATACATTTTCCTCCAGTTTTGTATTGAAATAAAAGTTCAAATATATCAAATGACAAGGATCTATATGTCAGGTATATAAAACAAATATTGAGTGGCTTTAAATTGTGAAATGGGAGGAATATTATCGCTCGGTAAAATCTGGACTTTTCCAGTTGACTCGGCTTCGCCTCGTGAAATGGAAAAGTCCAGATTTTACCTTGCGGCAATATTCCTCCCATTCCACGCTGAGCCACTCAATATTTGTATAACACATTGCTTCTTGTCTGCTGTAAGATTTCAGAGCAAAAAAAATCTTCGCACAATATACAAAATAAAACCGTACAATTGTTTACCTGAAAGTTAAGGTTACTTGAGGAAAAGTTGAATTAAATTTAATTATTGAAAGGGATATGACCAAAATATAGAAGCGTAGAGCACCGATACAGAGTTTAGGAGGTCGCATGTTCAAATTCTGCTCCAGTGAATTTCTTTCGTCAACTTTATAAACAATTATTTTTAAAAAAATTAAGTTGGAAGTTATGAAAAGCTTACTGTCGAAGCTGGGAGCGTTGAGAGTTTCCAGTCGCCAGAAGGGCTTCAACTGATCTCTCCTAGGCTGAGGGGTCAAATCCAAGTCATCGTTCCGTGGCGTGATGGTGAGCTGGCTGGTATCTGACGAAGTCACATCATCCTGAGAATGAAAAGTAAAAAAACACACATTGAAGATAATCGCAATCTTTAAAGGAATGTACAACATTTGCTTTTGCTGCAATTTTCAGAAATAAGAGGATTTGGAGGATTAGTATGTTATCATGAGAAAATATTGTTAAACTGACTTTATTCACGTTTTGGGCTTGTAGATGCTGGAAAAAAGAAAAAGAAAACATATTCTAGGTTCATATTCTAGTCTGGTTCCCTTACCCCACTTAAGATAAAACGGAGCAATTAATACACTTTGGGGAATTGTAAGGTCAGAGAATAAGTCTAGCAGGCTTGTACCCCTTCACGGGTGTGTAATCAATTGCAAAGAAAAGTCCGAATAACTAAATATGAAAAATTAAGAACAGTTTTTGAAAAAAAGCCACTTTCTCCAACGCTGGTCAGCCGACCAGCGTTGGAAAAATACAGTTTTTCTTGAAAATGTCAGCACAACAGGAGCCACGATTTTAAAGGATGCTTTAGACTGTCATTCCCTAACAGTTCAGTAAGGTATTACGTGATAATTTGATCATTTCGTTCTTGATGTTTGCAAATGTTGTATCTTCCCTTTAAACCTAAACCTCTCACATCCTTCAATGTCCACCAAGAGTTTTGCAAGATTCAGGATGGAAGAGACAAGTCACTATTATTCTATAAGGGGCTGGAATGAGCCTCTGCACCTTGTACGCATTTGAAGACTTCTGGAAGGTTCCTGGAAAAACGCACAAAACTGCTCTCTTTTTTGAGAAATTTCTCAAATCGCCTGCGTCAAAATTTATTTTGCTTTAGCAAAAATTACTAACAGCAGATTTAGTAACCTGGTAAAATGTAATTGAGAACCTTTCACAAAGAAAAAAACTCCTGTATAGTTTTGTTGATATGTGTGACAAGAAGTTGGTTTTTGCCAATTCAAACTCTAAAGTGGTCAAATTTTTAACAGGAGTTTTTCTTTCAAGTGCATTCAATTTTCTTTTTTTTAAAGCAGTCATAAAATGTCAACCTAGACATTTTATCTTCTTAGTTGAGTGGACACTTTTATAGGAGTATAAATATCCACTCAAATCTCCATTATCCACTCACTGTATCACTCAGATTGTAATTAATCTGCCATGATATATACGGCATCTCTAAAAAGCAGTGTCGTGGGAATTTTTCCAGAAAATATATTTTTCACTGAAATCATTCATATAATTGGCTATCCAAAAAAGTGACCTGAACAGAATTCCAGAATTTCGTATTGAAGTCGGCAAAAATAAGTGGCCAGAAATTGGCACTTTACGTTATTCACTTATGAAAGGTGAGAAGTGGCCTGTACAGAACTCAAGAGGAATTCAAAGAAAGATTTTAATTTGAAAATTGAAGTTGACAAAAACAAGTGGCAATACAGCTCCTTTCTCCACACTTGTGCAAGTCAACGTCTGTTACTCAATGTAACTTCTTCAAATTTCTTGTTTGTTAAAAAAAAGCAAGGTATGGATGGCAGCTGCCTATATCATAAATGATGAACAGAAGTTGATAAATTATTCATCCACTTCACAAGTCTCTACTGAGGCAGGTGCATCTTAAAGGTGCACGTTTGTCAATGTCAGCACTCCACATATTTCTTCAGGCTTGTGAGTTCAAAACCCTGTATACCCGGTAGCTTTTCAGAAGATCCTTGCTTTTATTACCAGAATTAATTAATAAACAAAATAAACAAAATACACACAGAATTGAATAACATTATCAGTGTCAGTTTTGGAAACATAACGTAACAACTTCTGATGAGATACAAGTTCTCAACAGTGAACCACAAGCTTTTTTTATTACTAGAGTGCTAACTCGATGTACAAAGTAATGCATGATGAGCACATCCATGTTTGTGCGCAAACCTATGGAAAACTCAAATTTTGTATGGCTTTTGTACGGCTATTTGCATATCTGCATTTGTATTCCATACTGGTGCGCCATCAAAACCAATACACCCAAACCGAAACTCATGATCAGCAAATGAGCGTTTTATTTTGCTGTACGCAAACAGCGCAACGTGTGCGCGTCCCTCTGCTGCAGATGCTTTTTGCCGTGACGTTTTTTTAACCGTCATGATGCGCTTAAGTTGTTTGCGTATCTTCTACTTGCGGGTTGCATTTAGAGTACACTTTTAAATTTAATCCATCTATTTTGATTGCGTTCTACAAACACGCACATAAATTCAAAATGTCTGCTCCCAGAGCGGCTTCTAAGCGTCTCCGCGCGCAAGAATGAGGAGTTAGCGCTCTAGTAATTTAATAAAGCTCTATGGATGTAACCTATGCCGTAACAAGTGCGCATTAACAATAACTTGCGAATGTCTCTAGTCAAACGCTAGTCAGAACATCATCATGAAACTGTTCAGTCTTGTGCTGGTAACCAGTAATCTTGGTACAGCCAGAAAATGTTGGTACATACAGAAGACCTGGTCCTGAAATAGTCCATTAGACTAATCCAAATTTAGTCAAACTGGTGTGCGTGATGGTCAACCATTGTTCTCGCTTGGATTGGCTGTTATGTGGAGATTGTTGGACTCACCTCATCCGACCAATCCAATGTGATCTCGGCGCGTAGCACTTTCCTGGGCAGCTCCGGTGAGGTATCAAATATCTCTAGATCCTCCGAGTCCACGCTGGAGGCACAGCTGCCCTCACTGGTACTCTGATGGCGCATCCTGGGCCGGGCTTTGGACTTCTTCTTCTTCTTCTTGGGCTTGAGTTTCCGTTCTATGGAAAAAAATCAGAGAGAGAGAGAGAGAGTTGCATGAATTATATCAAACTATACTGCTAGTGATTTAATATTTTCTTTCTGAGGGTGAAGAGCCTATTTAAAAACAAACATCACAAAAATGCAACACAAACGTGAAAAGTCTGTTCCAACCTGGGATGACTCTGTTGGAGGCAGGAGCCAATGAGGGTCTGGATCGGATGTCGTTCAGTAATCTCTCGTATAAACTCTCTGTCCTCAAAGGAAGTCGACTATCCTTAGGTATCTGCAATACAACATTATCAGTATTCAAACTGTCAACTAAATCACAAATTTTTATGAATTTTGGAGTCAATCACAAGTCCTCACAAGTCAATCAAAAGTCAATCAATCACAAGTCCTCACAAGTCAATCACAAGTCCTCACAAGTCAATCACAAGTCATTCAGAAGTCCTCACAAGTCAATTCAGAAGTCCTCGCAAGTCATTCAGAAGACTTCACAAGTCAATCACAAATCCTCACAAATCAGTCACAAATCCGGACAAGTCAATCACAAGTCCTCATAATTAGTCACTCACAAGTCCTCATAATTAGTCACTCACAAGTCAATCACAAATCCTCACAAGTCAATAACAAGTCCTCACTAGTCAATCACAAGTCCTCACAAGTCTATCACAACTCCTCACAAGTCTATCACAAGTCCTCACAAGTCAATCACAAGTCAATCACAAGTCAATCACATGTCAATCAAGAGTCAATCACAAGTCCTCACAAGTCCATCACAAGTCCTCACAAGTCCACCACAAGTCCTCACAAGTCTTACAAGTCCTCACAAGTCAATCACAAGTACTCACAAGTCAGTCACAAGTCTCACAAGTCAAACACAAATCTCACAAGTCAAACACAAGTCCTCACAAGTCTCACAAGTCCTCACAAGTCTTACAAGTCCTCACAAGTCAATCACAAGTACTCACAAGTCAATCACATGTCAATCAAGAGTCAATCACATGTCCTCACAAGTCCATCACAAGTCAATCATAAGTCCTCCAGTCTCAAGTCAAGCACCAAGCTATTCACTTGAACTGTGACAAAGGTATTCCTTTTTTCATTATATTCACCACCTGTCAGTGTTAGTCATGACCATGACTAGTGTCCCGAATAGTAATTTTCTTTGATTGACTTGATAACAACTATTCAAATCTTTGAAAAGAGGCCAACATTTATACTAATTTGTTTAAATTGAAGACCCGATTTCTGTTCGAGTCATGAACAGAAAATGACATTAGCATGTAGTACATTCAAAACACTGTACATCAAATTGCTACCAATCACATGCAAACATTCAAGCAACTGCAACACAAACCATCAACACAAGTCGTTCAGCAAAACAGAATGAGAGAGCAAAATAAAATGCTGTGAAAGACCTGAACAATATGGCATAGTAGCACTATATGGCATAGTAGCAGGGATCGGGCTCATCATTTGGGAATGTGTATTGACAATATGTGAATCAAAATAATTTTAAAACTGGAGTTTTAGAGATATGATACTAAGATACATGTACGGTACATCAAACCAGAAAACTCCAATGTAAGAATGTTTTAAAAATGTCTTGCAATTCATTTATTTTTTCCCATAAATTTGTTTTTCATTATTAATTTTTCCTAGGCATGTGTGCGTAATAATTATCCTTAAATTTAATGTAATTATTTTGGTTTGCTTTTATATACTATCAATTAGTTGAGTTTTAATGTCAATATGTTCAGTTAATGTGAGATTAGGCTTCCACAGTATTAGCAAAAATTTAATTGCAGCCGTTTTAATGACTGCATGTAGGATTCAAACACCCCTATTTGCAAGAGATGCAGCGATCCCTTCCAGCCCAAAGCAATGCAAAGCAAGGAATGATTCATTACTGGTTTGAGGGGTGGTCTGGACCGGATGAAGTCCAGTATGACATCATGGGCCTCCTTCTTCACCCTAGGGGGTAAGTCACCATTCACCTACATGGCAAAAAATAAATAACAGGAGGGGGAAAAGAACACGCAGTTGGTGTCAATAAATTAATGTGCCAGCCCCCTTAGTAAAATGTACCGGGTAGCATCTCTAGAACGCTGCAATCTAGACAAACATACATTTCAAAAGCAAAATTTTACATCATTAATGAGCTATAAGAATGTAAAGGATAAAACAAAATTGACGTACAGATAATGCACATAGATACATGACAGGAAAATGAAACAGAGAAGTAAAACTTGAAAATAATCATGAAATAAAATCTTGATGAATGATGGGTGAAATCAAACATACACTACTTCCAATGTTGACAGTCTCATGCACAGGCGCTCTAAAACAATGCCACATTTCAACATTAATATCATCAAGTAAATTAATACGTAGATATGATATGCGTTATTCAAACCTTCCAGATTATGCCTTTATTAAATAATCCATGTACTTAAAGATTAATATACAACATTTGCTTTTGTTGAAATTTTCAGAAATGGATGGATTAAGGGGGCAAATATTTTACCATCGTTGGAAATTGACACAAAAATTTGACTTTTCTTGAAAATGACAGCACACTAGGTGCCACGCTTACAAAGGATGCTTTAGACTGTCATTCACTAACACCCAAGTAAGGTATTTCATAATAATTTGGCAGGTTTTTTTTTATGTTTGCAAATGTTGTATATTCCCTTTAATCACCAAATCCAAGACCCAAAGTTTAATAAGAATTACTTGAAGAGCGTATGGCATTTTCACTAGCACACCAATTAAAACAAAAACCCAAAACTGATCATTTGGGAGACAATACCAATAGGGCTAGACAATTCAGCTGGTGGAGTAGTTTTACGGAGGTGGCAGGTTCGAGTCCCACAATAATCCATTGCTTTGTTTTTAGATCTGAAATTCATTGCAGTGTCAATATCACAGCGGCTCTAGCCTTGTAGTGGACCTACTTGTAGTGCATCACAAGCTATGTAGCCAATCACAAGTCAATCACAAGTCTATCACAAGTCAAGCACAAGTCAATCACAAGTCAATCACAAGTCAATCGTAAGTCAATCGTAAGTCACCCAGTCCCAAGTCAACTCACAAGGTACAGTGGAACGCCGCTATAACGAACATCGCAGGATCAACATAAATTGTTCGTAATAGCAATCGTTCGGTATAGCGATTTTAAGCTGCTGGTGCTCCGGTACTCATTTTTCAATAAATAGCGCCCTTCAGAACTTCACCCTGCACGCTCTGGTACTACTATAAGATGACTTTGAACACGTGCCGACTATTGAATAATGTAATTACGCAGCTTGTGAGCTTACTAATGGTACTACAGCAATTGGTGGCTTTCCCCTTCTATTCATTTGGGAAATAATAGCCACTTTTTGCTCTTCTGTTGACATTTTTCAACAGCAATATTCGGTACATTTTGTACACAAAAATCAAGAGCAAAGGACGATGTTCGGTATTGCCGAATGTTCAGTATAGCAGTGTTCGGTATAGCGACGTTCCACTGTACTCAAATGAACTGTGGGAAGAACATCACTTGTAATTAAATCCCCTTTTACTTGTGACTGGCCTTGTGAATTGACTTGTGATTACTTACAACCTCACTAGTGATGTGCTTGTGATCTATCACAAGTATCTGTACTACAATACTGAGCAGCTGAAAGTCGTCCAGCAAACTTGAAACAAATTTTTCAGTATGGTTAGACTTGTCGTAATAAACCCAAGACTCACCAGGACTTGTTTGAGCGTGTACTTGTGGAATCGTATATCATCCATCAGGATCTCGTAGGGAGTCAGCTCATACTCGATGGGGATGCGGCTACGATGGGAGGTACAGGTATCACTGATCTCCTTGAGCTTGACTCCTTGCCTGAGCTGCTGCAGAACCTGCATCCAAATCCTAGCCTGTGAGAGATACAGAAGAGCAAGTTAACCCTATTGGATCATTTTTGAGTCCCTAAGTTTAGTGAAATATAAGGTATGACAGTAGGTACCATGACTGGGTTCTTGAAGTTGACTGGGTTTTTGCTTGAGACAGGTATACCCCCAAAAAGCTTGAATATTTCAAATGGGTTGAGACTTATACTCTGACGGGAGCTGCAGTTTAATTGGATATTTTCAGCATAATCTTTTGTTTTTATAAACCTTCCTACCCATATTGGAAGATATTCAGACCACAACTTCAGGATTCACTTTGCAGTGCCTTTGGCAAACTTCTTAATAAAACATAGAATTGGGACCACGGCAAGGCCAAAAAAAAAAGTCTCCGGTTTCTGGTATGGAGCTTGCCCAAAAAGTGGTGCGGCGATGCGGCTTTTTTTTTTTTTACCTTTTTTTTTTTGCTTCAATTGTCGGCTGATGACTGCAAATGGTGCCCGACTAAACTTAGTGCAAATATATGGGAGTCCAGAGCGGCCACATAAAGCTTATTCTCGATCATAACCCCATCTAAAAACACGTTAAAACTGTGCAGCAGCAGGATTCCAGTCAAACCAGTGAGTTTGGCGGTTTTGAGACATCATATCTTTTATTGAAAAAAAAACTTTTTCATTTTGCCGACGTGCATGGCTACGGCGACGCGCGCGCATACCAGAAACCGGAGACTTTTTTTTTTGCCTAAGCAAGAATGTATCAGGTTGATATACAGGGTCTGGGTCCTACAGAATTTTGGATTGCCCTTCACCAACGTAACCCTCCCTCTCTGGCTGGCAAATTTAATGAAGCCAAAACCAATCGAGTGACTGTTTTAAACCGTTGAGTGCTCTAAGCTTGCCTACATGTAAAGCAAGATTGACTGGCTGTGACTGTTATGACAACTGATACAGCTATGTTTCACACTAGACTGATAAGCCAGCTGTGCCTACCAGTTACTTGCTTTTGTCTGTTAATGGAATATGACTGTCACAGTGCCTACAAGAAATATGATCTGACTGTTGGTGACTGGCCTGTGCAAAAGGCATGGCAGGGGAACAGGATTGAAATTTTGACTGTCTGTGACTGATCAAACAAAAGGAGGGTTCACTGTATACTCAGTGTTGTCTTAGGGCTAGCAAGAACAAATATACTCAGTGTTGTCTGAGGGCTAGCAAGAAAAAATATACTCAGTGTTGTCTGAGGGCTAGCAAGAAAAAAGATACTCAGTGTTGTCTGAGGGCTAGCAAGAAAAAAGATACTCAGTGTTGTCTGAGGGCTAGCAAGAAAAAGTATACTCAGTGTTGTCTGGGGCTAGCAAGAAGAAAGATACTCAGTGTTGTCTGAGAGCTAGCAAGAAAAATATACTCAGTGTTGTCTGGGGGCTAGCAAGAAAAAAGATACTCAGTGTTGTCTGAGGGCTAGCAATAAAAAATATACTCAGTGTTGTCTGAGGGCTAGCAAGAAAAAATATACTCGGTGTTGTCTGAGGGCTAGCAAGAAAAAATATACTCAGTGTTGTCTGAGGGCTAGCAAGAAAAAATATACTCAGTGTTGTCTGGGGGCTAGCAAGAAAAAATATACTCAGTGTTGTCTGGGGGCTAGCGAGAAAAAATATACTCAGTGTTGTCTGGGGGCTAGCGAGAAAAAATATTCTCAGTGTTGTCTGGGGGCTAGCAAGAAAAAATATACTCAGTGTTGTCTGAGGGCTAGCAAGAAAAAATATACTCAGTGTTGTCTGAGGGCTAGCAAGGAAAAATATACTCAGTGTTGTCTGGGGGCTAGCGAGAAAAATATACTCAGTGTTGTCTGAGGGCTAGCGAGAAAAAATATACTCAGTGTTGTCTGGGGGCTAGCGAGAAAAAATATACTCAGTGTTGTCTGAGGGCTAGCAAGAAAAAATATACTCAGTGTTGTCTGAGGGCTAGCAAGAAAAAATATACTCAATGTTGTCTGGGGGCTAGCAAGAAAAAAATATACTCAGTGTTGTCTGAGGGCTAGCAAGAAAAAAATATATACTCAGTGTTGTCTGAGGGCTAGCAAGAAAAAATATACTCAGTGTTGTCTAAGGGCTAGCAAGAAAAAAATCACAACAATATTGAATTTGCAAATTACATCTTCGGACGCATATTCAATCCCATAAAATTGATTTAATTGTAAAGAAATAAATACGGTACATGCACGTTGTACAATATATATACGAATAATGAGTACATGTACAAAAAATAAAGATAAAGAGGTATCCGTATCTGTACTTAAAAATCACTTCACACCTCTTGACCCCAAACTATGTTTGAAAATATTTATCAGGTGTAAAATGTTTTGGAGGTCACCAATAGACCCTTTATGAAAATTTTGGCCGCCCTTTTATCCTCGCTTCAACAGTTGTCTTAAAATGGGATGACCCTGGTCGAGTACTGTCCTCGAAACCACTGAAGCTCGGCGACTGCCCTCGGTCAGTCATGCCTGTCTCGTCATTCAAGTTAAAAATTCCGGCCTTCCTCCAAACAATGACGCCCAATTACTCATTATGTCGGTCTGGGAATTTTTGTCACCAGGATACAGAAGTTAATGGTCCATCACCATTGTCAAGCATCAATAAATTGAGAATTATACTGTAGATACGACGCTGTTTATCATAGACAGGCAAACAGACCGAAAAAAATAATTTGAAAACTAATTTGAAAAACTAATAACCCATACTTCCTGGGCATTTTCTAAGCTTTCTGAACATACCAATTTCCATTACCATGTACAGTTGACTCTCGTTAGTACAAACTCTGTTAATACAAAATTCTGGTTATAACAAACATAAGGCCTTGGTCCCGACTGTGCATTTATGTACACAATGAATGGGACTGATGTTCCTCTTTATACAAAATTCTGATATAGCAAACAATTTGGCTAGGTCCGAACGAGTTTGTATTAACGAGACTCGACTGTACATTGTAGTTATCTAAAGGCTTATTCGTTACGCACCACGATTACGCAATGGGTAAATGCACAGCGCAATACACACATCGAAAACAGACACGTGGATTTTCGGCCTAACCCTGTAATCACAGAATTCTTAGTTGTGGGATGAAAGCATTTACGCTAAGCCAAAATTCCTCTCTTAAACTCATGAAATACGTTAATGTAGCCAAGGAATTTTCAGCCATAATTGGCGAGAATTCTTCGCTCACGACAGAGCCATGAAATTGGGCCCTGTCCTGTGGCAACTGATTTTTGTTCTTCAGGTTTCACCTCAGTGTGTTTGTACTTACCCATTGCTTTGGTTTGATGTTTTCTAAATGCGCATCTTGATCATCGTCACCATGTTCGGCATGTAGACTTTGTAAACTCTGGAGAAAATTCCAAAATTGTTTGAAAAATATTTTTTGAAAACTCTATTTTAATAAATACTCATGCAGTTCTAGTGTAAATAACAAATGTAACAATTTTTTTTTTAATGAATGATTTTTGTACATGGGACAGCTATGATTTTGGATTTTTTTACCTTGGTAGCATCTATTAACGCTAGTCCCTGTCCAGGGATGAATTTTACCCACACAAGACCTTTTCACACTAGACAAATCTCGGAGTTGACACAGGGTTGAAAACATTCGGCATTTCACACTTGAAATTTTTGACCCTGCGATTGATTTTCGCCCCGGGTTGAACTCAACTCTTCTCCAGACCAGGGTTAAGACCAGGGTGGAGATTTCAACATACGGCATTTCACACTTGAACATTTTCAACCCTGCGCCAACCCTGCGTCAACCCTGGGACTGATTTTCCTCCAGACCAGGGTTGAAATTTCCAACCAGGGTTGAAACTCTGGCCAGGGTTCAAAACAGTATAGTAACTGATAAGCTCGGTTTGCACGAAACAAGTGTCAAACAGTGCGGGGTTGTACACGGGTTTGGAAAATCAAAAACTCAACCCGGGGTGGCACAGGGTTCGCCCAGGGTTGAGTTCAACCCGGGTTGAGAGGCTCTAGTGTGAAAAGGCCTACAGAGTATGGACCTTTGCAGAAGCAGCTTGGATTCTTACCAGTGTGAAAGGAGTTCCCAAAAACTCGGGAGTTCCAAAATCCTAGGGGTTCGACTGGGGTCAAATACACAGTTTTTAAAATGTGTGGAAGGGCCGAAGGATACAAACGTTCTTCTTAAATTGATACTGAACAAGAAACTAACACCAAATGGGAAGATCGGGCAGTGTAGGTCTTAAGAACATTATTTTTTCTACCTTTGTACTTGATGCAATGACTTGAAGGAACTGGGTGAGATCTTGTGCTTCTGTCAGCAATGCTCGGCACACAGCTTGGTAATGGGTCGAGGCTCCCTCTGGCTCTAGTAAATGTCGGCTACAAAACTATGCACAAAATTTTAAAAAACAAAAGACAAGAAAATGACCAAAATGTAAAACTTTTTTATACATGTATATTCCATTGAAAGATGATACTACTTTAAGGCCAAAAAAAATAGTTCTGCTTCCAATTACATGGCATTCGAATAGGGTAGGTAGGTAGGTAATTTTTCAAATTTTTTTTGCCATTTTTTTTTTGTGTACGATCATATGGATGCGGATGCATGTAGTCAAGGGTAAATGGCAGAAATTGATGGTTTTGGGTGTTTTTCTCATTTTTCCCATAAAAAAGTTAGGGAAGGGCCTGTCAGAATAGGGTAGATAGGGAAACCGGAAGCAGAACTATTTTATTTTGGCCTAAGCAACAGGCTGTATTTGTGAAGAAGATGCTGTAGTAATGGTTGCCATTTCAGGGTTACAAAAGGAAGAAATATATCACATTAACTGAAGCAATTTAACAAATTTACTTCACTCTAAAATTTGTAATTTTTTGTAAAGATTGTAAATTCTGAATTAGGCTTATGCAGGCCTACCCAAAAATGGCATCCTTACGTCAGCCTGGCAACAAAGTTAACAGCACATCCAAATACATTTCATTGGTTCATACACATCATTTCTCCCTTAACATTTCAGAATTCCCATCAAGAGGCCAGGGTTTTGCCAAACAATGAGAAAGAAAAGTGGGGCTAGTTCCCACACATTCCCTCCATTATTAATTCTAGACTTCGATTTTGGACTGGGGGACAGCATAAAGTGGACTAATTTAAACATAACTCGGAAAGGCTAAAGAAAGTCCACCCTTGTCTTGGAATTTTCCAACAATAAAACTAATATCAACTGATTATTCCCTGAATCTTGCCTGCACATATACAGCTCATCCTTGCTCTTTTCTCCGCTATAAAACACTTCTCTCAAACCCCCCCCCCCAAGTCTGACAACATTAACCCTAACCACCCCAACTCCATCAAAATCCACCCCCTCGCCCCTCCCATTTTGGTGGATTTTGGGGGACTTGGTCTAGAAGGCCTGGCGTGACTATAAATCCGATTGATTTTGCCCAGCTTCCTGTACTGCTATTGTGATAAAAGTCATGTGTAGCAAGTCCATGAATGTCAACCAGTGGATTCCATTTGTACAGTTTTGTATTGGGCACACAGTGATTGATTGATTTTGATGGACTTGGTCCAGTTCCTAGTAAAAGACGCGAGGGAGTTAAGTTTAAATCATGGTGGCGGCCCCTAAAACCCTGTTCCGTCTGACTTGACAGGTAACGTAGTGGCTGCAGAAATGATTACGCCCCTCCCAATTAAACACCTGGCATGACCATTTTAAATTGCTCCACTAATACCGGTATCTCAATTAACATCCCCTGAGGAACATTTGCTGAGCTTAAATGAGGCTACAATTAGTTAAATATTTTCTTTTTCCCCCCAACTTATTGTTTATTATCATACAAAGTGAGTCTGTCAGTAAACATCTGAATGTACATGAATCAACCTCAACCCAGAAGCATGCACAAGACGAGCGACGTTCCCTAAAACCCATCTGCATTGGAAATCAATGCAAATCAATGGAGCCGACGGCACAACACACCAGCACCGAAAACGTAAAAGTAATAATATTCATGACCATGAGATTAGGCCACTGTCACTATCATAATTGGTTTATCTGTTTGATTTTCTAGGGAAACCTGCATTAATTAAATGCCACTGTTAATTAGTATTCACTGGAAACTATTGATTTTTGTTTTTGAATAGTACCAAATTCTGTTTTTAAATGTCTCAAATATGCATTTAATTTTGGGGAATGAAATTTGAAGAACTTTTCTACATGAATAATGCCACAGTGTTTAATGGAAAGTTTGAAGGTAAAACTGAGAAAGAAACTTCTAGCAAAATCATTTCCTTTTCCCCCCCTAAATCTACATGTACAATTGCGTCCACATCTTTTTCTGCTCACTACTTTCAAGAACGTTTCTTCATTTATAATTTTTGTTCCAGATTGGAAAATTTAATCAAATCCCAAGCCATACTGTTTCATTTCCTGACAAGGTGTGCGCAAACAGGTACTGGCGAAAAAGGCTAAAAATAGCACATTGAGGTTATTGATGTGGAATTTGGCATGTTTTCTTTTATTTTCTACCGCTACAGTTGTTTTCCATGAGTGAATAAAAGGCTTTTTGTGTACAAGCAGCCACATGAAATACAGTGGAACGTCGCTATACCGAACACAGCTATACCAAACATTTGGCTATACCGAACATCAGCCTTGGCTCCCAATTTTTGTGTACAAAAGGTACTGAACATTGTTGTTGGAAATGTCAACAAAAGAGCGACAAATGGTTATTATTTCCCCAATGAATAGTAGGAAAAAAAACACCAATGTAAGGCCAAAAAAAAAAAGTCTCCGGTTTCTGGTATGCGCGCGCGTCGCCGTAGCCATGCGCGTCGGCAAAATGAAAAAGTTTTTTTTTCAATACAAGATGATGTCTCAAAACCGCCAAACTCACTGGTTTGACTGGAATCCTGCTGCTGCACAATTTTAACGTGTTTTTAGATGGGGTTATGATCGAGAATAAGCTTGATGTGGCCTCTCTGGACTCCCATATATTTGCACTAAGTTTAGTCGGGCATCATTTGCAGTCATCAGCCGACATATGAAGCCAAAAAAAAAAAAAAAACAGGTAAAAAAAAAAAAAAAAATGCGTCGTCACACCACTTTTGGGGCAAGCTCCATACCAGAAACCGGAGCCTTTTTTTTTTGGCCTAAGCTCAAAAACTGTGTAATTACATTATTCAATAGTCACACGTGTTCGAAGTCGTCTTTCAGTAACTACCAGAGCGTACTTGGTGAATTTCTGTTACGGAATTGAAAATATTAATGGACATGTTTGTCGTTTTGCAACTCCGCGCGTGGTTTGTAAATGCAACTACATGCACAATGAAAGAGGGCGCCACTAAAATGAGAAGATCGCTATACCGAATGATCGCTATTACGAACAATTTCTGTGGATCCCACGATGTTCGTTATAGCGACGTTCCACTGTATTGTAATCGTTACAGTTCTTTTTAACATACATGTAGAACACATGTGTACATGTATGTCAAAGGGAAAAAATCATTTAATTAAAACTTCCAAATCCGATAGAGACACAGTGTTCAAAGATTAGACAAACACAGAAAAGTGAGGAATTGTAATCATCTTTTACCAGTCACACAAAATTAGAATACAAGGAGATACTCTCAGAAGTTGAAACCTATTCAAGAATGCCTTACAAAAGATGGGGGAATAAATTATAAAACTACAAAACATTACTAGTTAAAAAAAACACATGATCTGTACAAATGTTACAGGAAACACAGGCGCGGATCCAGGGGAGGGCCGCGGGGGCACGTGCCCCCCGTCAAATTTGAGTCAAAAAAAAAAAAAAGGAATAGAAGGGTGAAAAAGAAGGGAGGTGAGGGAAGGAGGAGGGAACCTCCTTACAAAAATACCGGCGCCGATATTAAACATGAGCCTGCAAACATTGCGTACTCGACTCGAGAAGCTTCGAAATAAACCGCGATCCCATCGTACGTACCCCGTACATACGTGCGTACGTATTACCCTGCATATACCGTTATTAAATGCGATTCATACGAACGTACACGATTTATTCTCTACGAACATGGCGCTTTATGTGCTGTGCGCGACAAACACACGTTGTGCACTGCTCTTTGGACCACACCATTGGTCAAGGGTGTGTTTTAGTAAGAACAATTTGCCAGCTGTTCCACGCGCTTTTGAATTACAAATTATACTTTTTTTCACGGAGTCCAAAACATGTCCTTGTTTTAAATTGACTTCTTCAACGTCACGTCATCATGTAATTTTCGTAAAGACTTTTCGAGAAACGATGTAAAACCCTGAAAAAATTGAAACACCCCTAAAGGTCATGGATCCGTCCTTAAAACGTTTTTTTAACGAAGAAAGTTGAGATCCAAAAGTTGGGTTTTGACGTTACTACGCGTTGCAGAAAATACAAATCTGATAAGTTTGGTACATAAAAGAGATCTGTTTGTCTGAGGACAAAAACAATCAGCAGTAATTGCCCAAAGGCATGTTTAGCACTCATATGCTCTTGCAAGCTAGACGGAACGCAAGTGTGTTGCTTTTTGAATTGCAAGCGAGATACATGTGATCGTATTTCGCCGGTGGCGACGCGGGCCGGCATCCGTGCCGGACCGGGAGGTATACACCTATTCCCGATGTCTATTTCTCAACGTTATCATCAACAATTATTTACTGTATTTTTTTTTACATAACTAAATGACGAATCCACCTTCAAAATTGTACCATGTGGAAATTGCAATCATGGCGCCGAAAGACCCGATGTCCATTATAATGTAAAGACCAGACGCAGTGTCTCACACAATTTGTCTTGCTGCGCCGCCGATCTGCCGATGGTTTATTTACAAATACATGCACGTGTAATAGGCCCTATTGTTGAAATTGAAACTGGATTGAATTAAAAGAACATTTCTTTAAAATGTTTGGGCATTTTACATTATGCAAAAAAAGAGGGAGAAACTTGGATGACCGTATGATTAATTCTGTAGTCATGAGATAAAACTGAGCTGTGAAGTTACAATGCAGGCTAATTGCTCCTCTGTTTTAGTTTGATTAAATTACACTAATTTTAAACTTGAGTTCAATTAACATGTTCAAGCGGTTTCTTCTTGTTGATAAACTGAAAATTTCAACTTGAAACAAAGCATTAGAAAGCATCCTTACACCAGTTTACAAACTAAGTTTTTACAATTCCTTTTTCAAAAATATAATGCACGAAGACACATGCAGACGAAAATACATGGTATCAAGTGAAGAACAGAAGAAACTGAGAAGGCTTGTAAAAGCAAGATTATATTTTAATCAATGAAAAAAATCTTATAATCCTAAAACAATTTACTCAAATAACTCCGGGGAAGAGGGGCCAGGAATTGCCTCAGATTGCACCACAGAGCATC